CCCTGGTTCGTAATATACCCGTAGATGGTGAAGAGTGCAAGTGAATATACGAAATATCATCAGGAGCCATAATCGGTATAGTTGAACTGCGGAAAAAGAGATGAAGACATGATTGATCATCACAATCAAAACCCAACAGCCTGAAAAAAATTCATCTGTGACCAGCTCCCAGTTGGTTTGATATTACAAAAGAATAAAGGAATATCAAACTGAATAACAATTAAATAAAACGTTATGCTCACAGTAGTCACTCTCGTGTAATTTGCTCAACAAAATTTTGAATTTTGAATCTTGAATTTTGAATTTTGAAATTTTTTTCTCTGATCCGATCCGTGATCCGATCCGTTGTCTGGTCCGTGATCCGATCCGTGATCTGATCCGGTCCGATCCTGATTTTGTCGACGCCTCTAAAATGGTGTGACATAACGTGATGGTTACATGACGCGTTTTCATGTCTTTCATGGCTCCCCAACCGTGACGGGACGGGACGTTTGCTGGCTCAAATCCCGGAAGTGTTTTCTATTAGCTTCTATTATGTTAAATTCTGAAACAATCTATAAAGCAAAGCTAAGCCTTAGAACTGAAATGGAGGCGGGCACGCCAAAAACAGCACTGGAAGAATTTGTGAAGCTTCTCTTAGAAAATGGAGGGGAGCTGGAGCTAGGCCGTGCAGTATTACTTCTTTCCGTACGCAACCGTAAAGTTGTTTCAGATTTTGGCGCGTTAGAGTTCGTGAAAAGGTTTCCGCAACTATTCATGGTCAGCCAGACCAGACAAAAGAAGTCGAAAGTAATGGTGAAGTTGGATGTACCTCTACAGTTTTGTCTTCAAGCTGGAGAAACCGGTGGATGTACTGATAGACNTTTGCAAACCATTTCTGATGAATACAAGAAAACAGAGAAAACATTTCAAGAGACCATGGATGGAAGTCACAAAATCATCAGGATTGAGCGAGTGCAGAACCCGGATTTGTGGACTCAGTACACACAGTAAGTCAAGATCTAAAAGCGTTGAGTTTGCTAGCTTTTATATCAGCTTATGTTCACAAACAAAATCTTCATCAATAAAGCCTGGTTTTCACTAGCGACGGAAGCACAAGCGCAATTCAATTCTTCTTTCACCATGAAAGCGGCCTTGACGCAGGCATAAGCACAAGCGCAAGCACAAGAACAAGGATCAATTTCTTTTTTCCTTTTTCTTGTGCTTGCGCTTATGCTTGCGTTTGCGCTGCAACAAGTGAAAGCGAAATATCGCCCAGGCATAACACAAGCACAAGGATATTTACCACACGTGGATATGTTTGGCCAATGAAAACACTGGCTCCAGATTACCTCACGCCTAAACAGTTCGAAATTGCTTGTGCTTGTGTTTGCGTCGAACTTTGTTTTCACTTAGGTCATCCCTATTGCTTACGCTTGTGCTTGCGCTTGTGCTTGCGCTTGTGCTTGCGCTTCTGCTTGCGTCTGCTTGCGTCGCTAGTGAAAACCAGGCTTAAGGGAGGACAGAATTTCAGGACATAATAATTTAAAGAGGCTGTTTCGTATTTCTTCCAGAAATTTTTTAGAGGGATTTAGGAGCCTTCTATCCCTAATTCTACAGAGCAACTACATGTACTTTGGCAGAGTTCGCCGCTATTTTCGAGAAGATTCGCTGACAACAATGAAATGCCTTTGATTCTTTAGAGGTCCGTTACGTTCAGAACTTTGCGCAACATCATTGCATTAGCAGACAGTATAGTTTACTAAATTAACAGTGTGATAACCGAATGCTTTCTTCTTTCTCCCTTTTTCCTTCGTTTGCAATTTACAGAAGAAAAAGCCGCATGGCTAAGAAATCTGGCAAAGAACCTGAGGAGCGGCGACTTTTCCACGGCACTAAGCCCGACACTGCTAAGGCCATCTGCCAGCAAGGGTTTGACTGGCGAATGTGTGGAAAACATGGAACAACTTATGGAAAGGGAAGTTATTTTGCTTGTAACGCCAACTATTCACACCGTTTCTCCAATCACGGTGTTTCTCTAGGTCATAAGCAAATGTTCTTGGCTAGAGTAGTGGTGGGTTCTTACACTAGCGGTAACAGTTCCCTGACTCGACCTCCGCCCAAGGATCCATCTAAGCCAAATGTGTTGCACGATTCGTGCTGCGATAACACAGCTAATCCAGCATTGTTTGTTATCTTTGAAAACGGGCAGTCTTATCCTGAGTTCTTGATCACATACCTCTGATCTGGACCTTCTACTGCCATACGGTACCATACCTTACCGTACAATAGCGTAACGTAACGTATCATACCGTAAAGTACTGTAACGCACCACTGTTACGTTACTTGTTTTGCAATATTTGAAGTTATTTTCATATGTTTGTAAGAACTTTCACATAGCCTACAATTGTAGGTTTTCTTAGATTTAGGTAGAAATTTACCAATTATGATAAGTTTAGATAATATACCTAAGAGAACAACTCTTGGTTTAGGTTTTAGACAATCCTTAATAAAGGCCACTCTTTGCGTAACTTCATTCCAACACAGGGAAAAGGCGTACTGAGTTGCGGGTTATATAGTAGGTGCATTTTCCAGAGAAAAAAAATATTCATGGCGTGTACTGCAACTCTGGTATTGTATTTGACACCGATAAATGAAGCAAAATTGAAGAAAAACGTGCGACAGTACTTGAAAAGAATTCGCGACATTCGAT